AGCGGCCGTGGCGCCACACGGACGGGTCCCTTACTCGCGATGCGCCCGCACACTGCCCCGGAACGTCCCCGTCAGCCTCAGCCTGCTCCTCCGTAACACGGGGTGACGACTGTCCCGACGCGCTCGCGGGGGCGAGAAGATGCGCCGGGTGTTAACCTGGACGGTGTCTGGAGGCCGGGGCTGAAGGGGCCAACCACCCAGCTAGAGAGAGAGAGTGGACAGATAGACGGAGACGGACAGGGAGGCAGACACAGTGAGAAAGAGAGAGGCGGAGGGAGATTATTCCCAAGCAGCGCTGTTCTGGGTGTCTACGATTCTTATTTACAAACACGCAGCAATCTTTTTTGCTTCCTTCCGTCGCCCCCGCAGGAAGCTGCCACCAGCAGTAACGCGAGCCACTGGACGGGGTCTACCGTCTTCTCTGCCGCCAGTGCGGCCCCTGAAGGGGAGAAATGGGCCACGCGTGGGCCCGGGACCGGGCTCGGGAGAAGCGGAATGTGGACCCCAGAGGAGGCTGGCCTGCCGACCCCCCCCTTGCCCCTCGCGGGGGCCAACAAGACCGCCATCTACACCCAGAGTCTTCAAGACCAGTGCTGGGAGACATACGTCGGCCAGGTGGTTCCCTCGGTCCCTCGTAAAGCCCCTCCACAGCCATTCATCACTTCGTTCTGAAGGGTCACTACCTCTGTTTTATAGGAAAGGAAACTCAGGTTCAGTGAGCATTTCCGATTTTCTCCGATTCGATGGTAACAATCGGCACAAAGACCCATGCAGTGTTGGCTACGTGCCGGCCCCGTGTTAAGCGCTTAGTCCCCATGAGACCCTATCGTGACCCTCCTTGTAGACACACGCGGGGAAACTGAGACTCCAGGGGTGAAGGTATTTGCCCGTGGACACAGACAGTAAAGAGCAGAAGGCAGGTCTGAACCCGGGCATCCGCTCCAGGCTCAGCCTCCCCATACGGGATCTCATGCAGAGAATCTCAGCAACCCCCCCACACCCCCCAGGTTATTGTCTGTCCTGTGAACTTGAATCGCTGGCCCCAAGTGGTCTCCAGTGCCTTAGAACCACAGACCTCAGGTTCTGTCCTGGTTTCATGTCAGGTTGGACTCAGATACCAAAATTCAAATTCAGATGAACAAATATTCGTTGAACGCCCATTAGGCACCAGACGCGAAGACGCCACGGTGGGGGGGTGGGGGTGGCGTGGGGACTGGCAGAGGTTGGGGGCCCTGCAGGAGGAGGTGGCCCCAAGGACCCCCTGTGTTCCAGGAGATGCTGAAGCTTTCCATCATCGACATGCTCTTCACCGTGGCCAGCATTCTGCTCATCGATTTCTTCCGAGGACTTTTCGTCCGGTACCTGAGCGACTACTGGTGCTGGGACCTGGAAAGCAAGTTTGTAAGTGAGATGCTGGGTCCACGGGGAAGCTCCTATGGCTGCACCCTCCTCTCCTGATGTGGCTGAAATGGGAGGGAAGAGGGGAGGGTGCACAGGGCTGAGTTGCTTTCTCGATCTCAGCCGTACTGTTTCCTGGGGTGGCCACGCAGACCGCGATCTCTCTGTGTCTGTAACACCAAAGAACCCTTTGCACGTGACTATCATGAACTGGTTCGCACAAGGAACTTTGGAACCGTTTATTTATTTTTTTAACATTTATATATTATCTTTGAGAGAGA